ATTTGTTAATCTACCAATAAAATAGAGGAGTTTGGTGTTTATGGAACAAATGAACAAGAAGAGTGTTTGGATGCTGGTGAAAGTGTCATCTTTGAGTCCTTTATTGGCCTGAAGTTCTTTCTCTAATATGACCTGAAATCGATTAGCTCTAGGGTGAGGTTTTTCCATATTCAGCCTGGAGATCTTCGTGGTCCCTAATTTGTGAACTCAAAACTTTTTGTAGATAGACTATAATCTAGCCCATCCCACAGGCTTGAGAGACTATCCCACTTCCTGACTATTGACCATAGTCACCAGTGTGTGTCTGTGTGTGCTTTACGTGAATACATTTTTATCTTGACATTTATAAAGGCCTGAGATGGAGGAGCCTATTGGATCTTGGGTTTTCCCGAGGCTTTCCCTCACATTAGCCTCAAAGGAGATGGTCTATTTCTCAAAATGGATTTATAGGCATAGGAACAGGCTCAGAAAAGACAAATCTTTTCAAAGGTTGCTTCAAGTGAGGAGAGCACATCTTCAGCAATCAAGAGTTTTTTTAATATTTAGATAGAGAGGCTAATAAAGAGATATTTAAAAATAAATATTACGAGCTTAGCTAAACAAGCACTCAAAGAAATAAAGTAAAATGCATCATAATGTTTGACATGTTGTTATTACATTGTAAATCTAGTTCATCAGGCAGGATTGTCTCCTCAACTCAACTGATCTCTTTTATGACTCAATTATCTGATTGTACATTGTACGTCATACAATTGCTTAAACTAATGGAGTCAACTTTCAAGTAAAAAAATAAAATCAATAAAATTATGTTTCATGGATTTATGGGCAAGGCTTAATTGTAGGAAAATTCTCATCTAGCTATTTTTTACTAAATACTATTATAGGTCTGCTAGCCAAATTTTTTAGCAACTTAAAATTTGCAGTTTGGATCAGAATAAGCTGTACCAGAATAAATTATAAAAATAAAGAACTCTCTCCTTTTTAATTTTGGTCAAATTTTTAAGCATCTTAAAAAATTTGGAAAAAATCTAAATTTGATTGGACTCAGCTAAAACTTTTCTATACAAAACAAATATATGTATGTGTATTAGGGAAAAAAATGAAGAATTCCTTGGCCATTTTTTTCATAAAATACCGTATAGGGGTTATATTTCACTGGTAATAAATTTCGCGAATTTTACGTTTTTATTAAATTTGTGAAATTAAATTCCACAAAAGAGGTGTGGTGCACTAGGGAAATGGCTGCAGAAGGCAAGATTCACGAAAATTTATACCAACAAATGGCAAATTTGAACAAATTCGCAAAATTTTATACCAACAAAATAAAACCCCTATACGGTACCCTCCAATGTACTACAGTACAGTACATGGTCTTTGACCAAATTCTTGAGGAACTTTAAATTCAATAAAAATCAAATGTATTTCGTATAATATATCATTCCTTTTATAGTGATTTGTATCAAAGAATAGAGACATGCCATCTATTATATGCCTACATCATTGTAACATCATCTCTGAGTAGACTATG